GGCTGACAGCAAGCATCCATAGCCCCTGATTCGTATCCCGGCCCCGGGGCGTGGCCAGTGGAGAATGCTGTCGTCTACCTGAGGTCGCCCTTTGGCTGCGCCACAGGCGTTTAGTGGTCGGCGGAGGCAATCGTCATCCAATGACGTCCACCGACTGGTCTGCCACCGGTTGGTGGGAACAAAGCCGTTGGGCGCTTCGCCGCCTTTCTGGGAGGCGGAGACCTTCAGGCCGGCTATGTGTGGTGAAAGAATGCATATCAATGACATCGAGGCGTGCTCTGGTGTTGTCGACCTGATTGTGGGTGGTCCTGTGACCTCAGTGATATGTTCTGCATTGAAAACGCTAGCAGACTTTGGCCGTGCCAGTTGGTCTGAAGATGACAATACAAATGATCAGGTGTGAGGGAAGGCTATCCGAAAGGCCCGAGACGTTTTTGCCAGTTGGTCTGAAGATGATAATACAAATGATCAGGTGTGAGGGAAGACTATCCGAAAGGCCCGAGACGTTTTTACCAGTTGGTCTGAAGATGACAATACAAATGATCAAGTGTGAGGGAAGACTATCCGAAAGGCCCGAGACGTTTTTGCCAGTTGGTCTGAAGATGACAATACAAATGATCAGGTGTGAGGGAAGACTATCCGAAAGGCCCGAGACGTTTTTGCCAGTTGGGCCGAAGATGACAATACAAATGATAAGGTATGAGGGAGGACTATCCGATAGGCCCGAGACGTTTTGAACAGTGCGAAACATCAGAGGCAACGGCGGAGCCACTGTGTAAACATGAATCGGTCATATCACTTAGAGCGTTGACCTAAAGAATGCTTCCGAATTAAAAAGAGAATTTTGGGTGGGTACCGGAGACGGTAGCAGAAGCAAGGGTGTATTGATTTCTGATAACGACACTAGGTAAAGAGGCTCATGTGATAGAATGCAGTGGTGCACCTATAAATTTACAATTTTTTGCGTGTTTCAAATGTCATTCGTTAGTCTTACTGGCCATTTTACACTAGCGACTCGATTGTGAATTCCATGGCTTGTTTGCGAAGGCAGTTTCTAATAAGCGCCGCTAGGCGCTTCACCTATATTTGGGTATATAGTCTCCGTCAACGCACGTGCAAAATCACCCTCAATTAATTTTTGACAATTTCTGATTGTGCTGATCGGCGTACCAGATCAATTAATTGCTTGATTCATCCGCAAATAGATGATGAAGTTCTGGACAAGTGCTGATCTTCTGCTCGCATGCTCCCTTGGGGTTCTTACGGACCGAACACCCTGGTCCATATCTGGTACCTGGACACGACGTGCGTATGAATTCAACGGGATGTTATCGGCGAGCGTGTCTTTAAATCGAGCGGCATGTACACGCCCACGTGCCACTCATGGTACCAAAGTGTGCAAGCTCAGACTCAGTGATGATGGGGCGGCCGTTTGTTTATGTGACGTCTGTTTTTTCCCTCTCACGGTAAGCAGACCCCAACCAGTGGATCGTATCCCTCCCTGTCAGATCACTGTTCTCGCAAGGCATGTGAGTTGGGCCGGTCCCCGTGCCCAGTATCGGTCGTGCTAGTTTAATCTCAACCGCAGTTTGCACGAACGCGCGGCTGCGTCCTAGAATCAGCGGCATGAACGCAGGGGCTGGGTTCCCAGGATCAGCCGGATAAACGCAGGGTCTGCTTCGCCAGAATCAGCCGTACAAACACAGGGTCCGCGTCGCCAAAATCAGCCGTACGAACGCGTCGCCAGAATCGGCGGCACGAACGCAGGGACTGCGTCGCCAAAATCAGCCGCACGAACCCAGGGTCCGCGTCCCCAGAATCAGCCGTACGAACGCAGCGGCTGCGCCGCCAGAGTCAGCCGTGCGAACGCAGGGGCTGCGCCGCCAGAGTCAGCCGTGCGAACGCAGCGGCTGTTTCCCCAGGATCAGCCGTCCACTCCTCTGCCTGGTCAGGCCAAGCTGAAGTGGACTAAAACCAAGATTGGGGGGGGGGGGGGGGAGGGCGCTTGATAGCTTACAGCACGTTCGTCATATTTACAATATGTGTGTTATTATGTAAAGCAGGATGGTGTAGTTGGATTGGCTGCAGACACCACACGACAAGGGAGTGCTGTGGAATCAATATATCCGCCGGTGGACCACATCCGGAGATATGCGCTAAGCTTGTGGGGTGATCGAATGTTTCAGTCTGTGTGCTCCACGACGCGTCAGCACGTGGCATCACCGGAGCAACCACGCATTGGAACCGGAGCTTTGGTTCGGCACCTGCAGCCACCTGTGCGCAGGTGGCTCCTGTGGGCCAGTCGAGTCGTGTCACCGGCGCCCCGGCCCGAGCGACTGCCTGGGCCCTGGTGACGTCACCGCGGCTGCTCGGGGCCCGGGTGACGTCACCGCGGCTGCTCGGGCCGGTCGGCTACCACCGCTCTACGGTCGGTTCCGGCGGCGTGCTCCGTGTAATGGGCGGCGGCGGCAGCGACGGCGACGGTGGCCTGGGCCGTCTCGAGCCACGCCGCCACGGCGCCGTCGGCGGCTCGCCAGTTGGTCGTCACGTCCCGGCGGCTGCTGCGCCGCCCCGGGCGCCCTTGTTCGGGCAGACCCGGACCGCCGCGGTCCCGGCAGTGTCGCGCCGGGACCGCGGCGCGTTATTGCACGGCAGACGGCGTCGTGATGAGCAGCCGACATGGTGAGCGCGCCCCGCGCCCGCGCGGCCGCCGAACTGCGGAGCACGTGTGGGATTGGGCGGACTTTGCCGTGCCATGGGCCGACGGCGGCGCGCAGTTGGGAGCTGGCGCTGGCCGCTCGCGCCACGTCCGTTATCCGGCCCACAGTGCCGTGGGAGCCGGTCTACGGGCTGGCTAGCCTCGGCTGGGCCGGTGTGTGGTCACGTGTGTATTCTTTCACACCGTTGAACACCGTTTCACAGTGCCACCGTTGAAACCACTGGAAATCTGGGGCGTGCTCCGGCTGCCGGAACCCACGCCGACCTTTCAGCGTCGGCTCATAAACTGAAATGCCGAGTGTTGTCCTCTGGGTGCAGACTGGGCGGGGTTTCCTCCCCGGTGCCCAGGCGTGTACATTGGTACCTGGCTTTTGTAATATATGGGTCTGCGAACGATCAAATGGCACAAATTAGCTGCAAATCAACTTGTCCCATTCTGAGCGCGTGACATGGACGTGGACACGCCATGTGCCACGCCACGGAGTGCCACACCACGTGGCCCGTGCCTTTCTCTCGTGACGGTCGCGGTCCATCCACTCGATGTGGTCGCTGGCCGCCGGCTGGGTGGTGGGTCTGATTTCCCTGCGGCCGGCTGTGGCTGCCGGTTTTCCTGTCCTCGCCTATGTGGCGGCGCCGCGTCACGCAGCTGGGACAGCCTGTGACGCTGCTCCGCCCCTCCCCGCCCCTCTGTGAGCGGAACCATGACGGGCGGGCCACTAGCTCAAGGCGGCCGTTGAGCGGAGAGGGGGGGGGGGGGGGGGCGGCTGCACGACAAGGAGGCGCCCTCTGTCGGCCGGGCGCGAGGCCGCCGCCTGACCCGCCCCTTGGCCACGGCGTCCCTGTTGCGTCAGAGGCGAGGCGTGGCGGCGGCGGCTGCGGCGGCGGCGGCGAGGCGGCGACGTGGTCACCCGCGACGGAGCGCCGCACCCGGGGTCAGGGCCGATCGCCGGATGATGCGGACTGCCGGGGGCCACGTCCCTGTGGGCGGGGTCTGAGGTCAGCTGTGGTCACTGGACGCTGAAGAGTGACCGCACCTAGGACCGATCACGGACTGGAAGGGAAGTTACTGCAAGCGGTGCGGTGGATGGGGGTTCAGAGTAGTCGGGTTCGGGTGGTGTCATTGGATTGCAATGATCACATCGATCGTTCGTGCATGGTCACTGCGACGGCTTAATTAATTCTGCCGCTCTGTGCTCATTATCGAATACCAGCTGATGGCCGTCTGTTTCTGCACGCAAATGGTCGTCGGTCCATTTTAGCAGCCGAGTTTTGTGACGTGGCCTTTTTCGCGCGTGGTTGGCCGTCACCCAGCGAATGTTTGCTCAAGGCCTCTGCCGTTTACGGGTATCCTGTTGCGAGTGTGTGAGCCCGGCCGGCCAGCAGCGTCGCGCCGTCGCCGAGGCGCGCCGCTGCACCACCGGCGCGCTCGCTGGTCCTCCCGGGCGGCGGCCGAGCCCGGGGTACAGCCGGCCCCTCCGCAGGCCGCGCGCTATATCCGGCAGAGGCCGGGGTCTGACCGTTCCGCTACGACACGCCTCGGCCATTGCGCTGCGTCTTGTGCCGGTCTGCAGGCACGTATCAGGGCCGTATCATTGGCAGGAGAGTCACCCCGTTGGGGGGGGGGGGGGGAGCTGCTCATTTTATTGTGGTTCAGATTGCCGCCTGTGAACCCAATCTGGTTTGGAATGTGGCCGTGCGATGTTTGGTTGTTGCGGCTGGTGGATTGTTGACCCACCTGCTGAACCTGCTGTGTGTCAAGGCAGGCCCGATTAGGTGCGAAGGCAGCGAGCACGCGCTACAGGGTGGCGGCCGACAGCCGTGGATATTGAATTTGTCGGGCATTGTACCAGCCAAGGATATTCACTTTTCTCATTTCGTCGAGATGAAGCGTGAATATGTGGTGATTAAATCTCTGTCGCAGCCCGTTCACACGCGATCCCAGTATTGCTATCAGGGCCGCGCCGCCGCCATCAAAGCTACTGTCAGCATGCTGGCACGGTTAACGTGCTATTAATAGAGTTGGAAGCTTATCGATATCGCGTTAAAAGTTTATCTATCTGAAGTCACGACCCGCGCGGGTCCGTGGCCTTCCCCTGCCCCTATCTGCCGTGGAGTTATGATAGGTGTGTATGTGTGTGTGTTTGTAAATAGCATGTGTCACACGCCCGTTCTGTGTTCGCGAGCACACTACTGGCGGCTGTGACGTGCGCTAGTCTGTTGCCCGGAGCAAATACAATGTCGTGGTCTGCGACCTGACGTTACGCTGTCGGTGCGTGCCGTAGGAGAGAAGTCGCCGCTGGTGGCGCGCGCCGGGCCGGCCCAGCACGCCGGCGCCCGGCCGCGCACCTCCCGCGAGGAGCTCCGCCAGCTCTGGAGGAAGGCCATCCACCAGCAGGTGCTGCTCAACAGGATGGAGCGCGAGAACGCTCGCATCACCGGTGAGCAGAGGCGTGTGGCCGGTGAGTTCCGTGTCGGCGGTGAGAGCGAAGCAGCGGCGCTGGGCTGCGGGCTCGCTTCGGCGATGAGCGTCCCCCGCTGACGGTGGCCGAGGCCGCGTCGCTGGCGCGCGGGTGCGGGATAGGCGCGGCACTGGCGGTGAGCGGGCCTTTAAACTGACATCGGTGCAGGTCTGCGAGCAGCTCATTGAGGAGCTCGGGCTTTCCCGTCGGAAAGCCGGTGTTCTTATTGCTGTCTTACCGCATGCGTTTTGCAGTTTGAGCATGCGTGGTCGGTTGTGCACGGTTTAGTGTGACGGATGAGCGGGTGTCTGTCAATGGTGAGCGGGTGTCTGTCAATGGTGAGCGGGTGCGGGTCGATGGTGGGCGCGTGCCTGCCGATGGTGGGTGCATGCCGATGGTGGGCGGGTGCCTGCCGATGGTGGGCGGGTGCATGCCGATGGTGGGCGGGTGCCTGCCGATGGTGGGCGGGTGCATGCCGATGGTGGGTGGGTGGGTGTCGATGGTGCTATGGCGGGTGCTAGTGAACGGGAAATGGTGAGCAGATGCCTGTGCTGATGCAAAAAAAGCTGGCAACACTGATGAGCAGGGCGTTTTATTGTGACTGAACACGGCTTTACTGGCCTGTGAATCGAAACGCATGGCTGCGAAGTGCACACAACGTTTGGCATTCCAGTGGCGCCTGTCCTTGTCACGCTCAGCCGGCTCGCCGTGTTTGTGCGCCGCTTTGAATCACAGATCCGGTTTCCTTGGACTAGAATGGTGTTTTGCCGTGCAGTGCGCAGTGTGTGGAGTGCGGCCCCCAGATGACGCCACGCTGGTGATCACGCCGGATCTCGCGGCCCGCTGCTCGTTCTGTGGGCAGGCAGCGGTACGGGGATCCGCTCCGCTCGGCGTGCGGCCTGTTCTGCGGCTCATGCACCCTGAGATACGGCTCTGTGTGCTCATCGGTGACCCCCAGAGCGGGTGCGGAGCGGGGAGCGGGTCACGTGCCCCGAGATACGCCCCTGTGTAGTGACCGGTGACCCCCAGAGCGGGTGCGGAGCGGGGAGCGGGTTATGTACGCCGAGATGCCGCCGTGCGCCGCTGACGTGAAGACCGGCTGGCGCCAGATGATCGACGGCTGGCGGTCGGGCGCGCGCGTCCATGCTGACGACCTGGAGGAGCTGGTGTTCCGAGGTCCGTTACCTTTGCTGGCCCCTTCCGGCGCCTGGCGGCAGCGGCGGCCACTCCTGCGGTGGCGCGCGTCGCGGGGCTGCTGCTGCGCACCGACACTGACCTTGTTTGGAAAATGTGTGGGGTTTATCAAGGCAATGGGCATCTCAGGGATTTTGCCCTGGTTTCAGCGGTGGGCGGACCGAGAATTCCGGTCATCTTGTGTTGGTGTGAGTCATCTACAATGTAGCTATAGCTCAGTCTAACAACGCTTCATTTGGTGATTGTTGTAAGCGTGCCGTGTTGGTTCAGAACTTAAGTATATTTTCTCCTGCTAGTAGGCGGCAGCACGCTTTGTTGCGAACGTTGTGGCGTTGCGGGTGGTGGCCTCAGCGGTCGGGTGAGACCGTGTTCCGCCGTGCCCTGCAGGCGTCTCGATCCGGTCACGGGCCGACGTCTGGCAGCTTCTTGTGTATCACCACCGGCTGCATCACTCACCGCCATCTGTCGAGCATGTCGACAACTACGACGCCTCATACCTGCAGCTCATTAAGCAGCTGACCAGTTTCCAGCGGGAGATTCTCACCGATCTGGGTATGATCTGGGTGTGAGCCGCCTGGGCAGCGCACTCGGCGTTTCCACTGGTCTGGGCATAAGGCGACTGGACTGCGGCCTCGCCGACGTTTAAGCCTCCTATGTTGGCTATACCGTCTCTGAGAGCTTGGCAGAGAGTCAGATGTCTGTTGCCGTTTGAGACCTTCCCTGCCGTGACGAGGTAGCCGAAAGTCTGTGGTTTAAAGCAAGCAAGGCGAGACCCGCAGCGACATATGTCGTGCATGAAATCGTTTCGGTTTTGCTCAAAAACGGTTTCCTCAGTAGTTAGGATTGTATGGTTAGTTTATGTCTTATTGATTGTCAGCATGTCTCTTAACCGAACAGATCACCCCCATAATTTTGGTGATGCTGAGGAACAGACTATCCATGGACCTCGCTGTTTTAAGTGGCGTTTTTCCATGATCTTTCAGCAAGCCAGCTGCCTTGCTTTTGTCCGTGTGTGGTGTATATAGATTGTATCGGTGCTTGTATATCGGTATAGCGATTGCATGGTGTATTCACATGTGTAGGAGTAGTTTTGGCATGCACCACGCTTACCTTGGTAGCTACGCACTTAACTTGGCGGCCCGGTCCTGGAGTAAGCCACACCATTGTAGGCGTGCCCCGCCGGCCCTGTAATACGCCGCACCTTTGTGGCACCAAAGTACCACCGTAGCAAACCACCAAGGCACTACCGCAGCAAACCACGAAAGCACCACTCTAGCAAACCACCAAAGCACCACTGTAGCAAACCACCAAAGCACTACTGCAGCAAACCACCAAAGCACCACTCTAGCAAACCACCAAAGCATCACCGTAGCAAACCACCAAAGCACCACTGCAGCAAACCACCAAGGCACCGCTCTAGCAAACCACCAAAGCACCACTGTAGCAAACCGCACCAAGGCGTACCCCGCTTAGCCTGAGCCTCATGTCCCAGCAGCCGTTTCTGTTCAATTTCCGTGAGGCCCGCACTAGTTGGTGATGTGACTGCAGGTCGGCCGTTCCCTAGCTGGTGATGTGATGGCAGGTCGGACGTTCCTTACGTGGTGATGTGATGGCAGGTCGGACGGTCCCTAGCTGGTGGCGTGATGGCAGGTCGGACGTTTCTTACGTGGTGATGTGATGGCAGGTCGGACGGTTCCTAGCTGGTGATGTGATGGCAGGTCGGACAGTTCCTAGCTGGTGATGTGATGGCAGGTCTGACGTTCCTTACGTGGTGATGTGATGGCAGGTCGGACGGTCCCTAGCTGGTGATGTGATGGCAGGTCAGACGGTCTTTAGCTGGTGATATGATGGCAGGTCGGAAGTTGCCTAGCTGGTGATATGATGGCAGGTCGGAAGTTGCCTAGCTGGTGATGTGACGGCAGGTCGGACGTTTCCTCATCACCCGTACTTTCGGAGCCCGTTCGGCTCCGGCCAGCTGGAGCTCTTCAACGTGCTGAAAGCCGTTTCGCTGCTGGACCCCGAGCTGGGCTACTGCCAGGGCCTCGGCTTCATCGCTGGTATTCTCCTCCTGCACGTGAGTACCGCTGGTGGCCGCCCCGCCTCGCCCTACCCACGGCTGGGGTGCGCATTCTTTGTTCCTCTAACTTAATCCAACATGTGCAACTGGGCAGCCCCTGCCGTGTTACCGTCGCAGATGTCCGTTTGACCGGAGCATGAGCGTGCTCTGTCCGCTGCCCCAGATGCCGGAGCAAGAGTCGTACGAGCTGCTAAAGCACATGCTATTCGCGCTGGAGCTGCGGAAGCAGTTCATGCCGGACATGTCGCCGCTGCAGATCCAGATGTACCAGTTCTCGCGGCTGGTTCACGACCACCACAGGTGCGTAGGCCTCTGCCGTCTCCGTTATACGTCCCCGGTGACACACAGCGACCTGATCAGTGATGGACACTCGGCTGACATTCACAGTAATCTAAATGTAGAGTTACGCAAAACAGTAACTGACAGTTACGGTAAGCTGGTTACCAGGTGAAGAGAAATTCTTGAACGCCTTCGGATAACATTGTTGCCAGGCAAAGCTGCGTTTAAGATGTATTTGGCTGCAGCGTGATTGACTTGATGTTGCACTGAGTGCGCCGCCGGAGAGCGATAGATGCCGCTGGGACGTCATAGACGTCGCCGGGGCGTCATAGGCGCCGCCGGAGCGCTATAGATGCCGCTCGAGCGCCATAGACGCCGCACCAATGCCAGTGTGGCGGGCGGTGTTGCGCGCTGGCCGAACTAATCTGAGCGTCCCGCCGCCACTCCAGCGAGCTGTACGACCACCTGGAGCGGTACGAGGTGTCGCCCATGCTGTACGCCACGCCTTGGTTCCTGACGCTCTTCTCGTCCCAGTACCCCATCGGGTTTGCCGCCCGCGTCTTCGGTGAGCCAGCCGGCGCTGCTCTGTGCGGCGGGGTGTGGGGTGTTGAGCATAGCTGGCTTCGGCCCAAGGAGGTGCCTCTTGTAAGCTTTTCAGTGCATTAGCAAGGAACATCGGTCACATAAATAAGACGGTAGTATTGGCCTTATTCCTCGGAAAAACCAGGAGGATCGAGATATAGTTGGTTGATATTTCGGCAACATGCCTTTCTCGAAACAATAGCAGAAGTGAATTCAAAATTGCCTGCCGATAATCCTACTCGATTGTACTCGGTTTCCAGCTTTTTTGTTTTTTTGTTTGTTTGTTTTTTAAAGAGCAAGCCACAATTTTCGCTGGACACCAACATTCGGGGGATTCAACGAAGGGCCATTGCCAGCCATTACCAAGATACAGTGCCTATCTAAGAATTAGAATGCCCGGACATACTTGTACGTACAAACGAATTCAAGCAAATAGGCATCACGCATCACGCTTCATTCGAACATGCAAGCGAGCTGAAGTAAACAGGCATCACACATCGCGCACCAATTATGCATGCAAACGATTTCAATTGAACAGGCATCGCACATCACGCGACAGGCATCACTTGCTCATGTACACGATTTTAAGCTGGCACACATCACACATGAGGCACACATCACGTTCGCATAATTGGCCATGATGAGCCCTGTATGGGAAGATTTGGTCTCCGACTTTTTGTAAGAATAGATTCACTTATTTTCCTGTCTGGGTGCTCCCGCGCTCCGTAGATCACATTGAGCTCTAAAAGGGGCATAGCTTAGCATTCCTTCGATTCGATCGAGTAGGATCATCGGCAGGCAATTCTGAATTACCTTCTGCTATTGTTTCGAGAAAGGCATGTTGCCGAAGTATCAACCTAACTATATCTCTATTCTCCTGTTTTTTTTTCCGAGGAATAAGACTTATACTGCTGACTTGCCTGCGAGGTGCCTCTTCAGTTCGACATGAATGTGATATGACACCGAAGTTGAGAGGGGAAGGGGCGTAATGACCAGCCGGTCAGCGCCTCCGGCTCCCGCGTCGGTATTTGTCGGCCGTTCCATGAGAGTGGAAGGGGCGTAATGACCAGCCGGCCAGCGCCTCTGGCTCCCGCGTCGGTATTTGTCGGCCGTTCCATGAGAGCGGAAGGGGCGTAATGACCAGCCGGCCAGCGCCTCTGGCTCCCGCGTCGGTATTTGTCGGCCGTTCCGTGAGAGGGGAAGGGGCGTAATGACCAGCCGGCCAGCGCCTCTGGCTCCCGCGTCGGTATTTGTCGGCCGTTCCGTGAGAGGGGAAGGGGCGTAATGACCAGCCGGCCAGCGCCTCTGGCTCCCACGTCGGTATTTGTCGGCCGTTCCGTGAGAGGGGAAGGGGCGTAATGACCAGCCGGCCAGCGCCTCTGGCTCCTGCGTCGGTATTTGTCGGCCGTTCCGTGAGAGGGGAAGGGGCGTAATGACCAGCCGGCCAGCGCCTCTGGCTCCCGCGTCGGTATTTGTCGGCCGTTCCGTGAGAGGGGAATTGGCGTAATGACCAGCCGGTCAGCGCCTCTGGCTCCCGCGTCGGTATTTGTCGGCCGTTCCGTGAGAGGGGAAGGGGCGTAATGACCAGCCGGCCAGCGCCTCTGGCTCCTGCGTCGGTATTTGTCGGCCGTTCCGTGAGAGGGGAAGGGGCGTAATGACCAGCCGGCCAGCGCCTCTGGCTCCCGCGTCGGTATTTGTCGGCCGTTCCGTGAGAGGGGAATTGGCGTAATGACCAGCCGGTCAGCGCCTCTGGCTCCCGCGTCGGTATTTGTCGGCCGTTCCGTGAGAGGGGAAGGGGCGTAATGACCAGCCGGCCAGCGCCTCTGGCTCCCACGTCGGTATTTGTCGGCCGTTCCATGAGAGGGGAAGGGGCGTAATGACCAGCCGGTCAGCGCCTCTGGCTCCCGCGTCGGTATTTGTCGGCCGTTCCGTGGTCTCTTCGGTCACTGGCGCTGGGCAAACGGTGCGGGATGACGGGCGTCACGGCCTCTTTCATAAAGCGAAAGAAGGTCGAGCATTCGCTGTGTAAGCATGTGGCCATGCAAATCATGACGTATTCGTGGTCTAGGGGAAAGATGCTGGGTCCGTGATCCAACGGCACTGGGTACAGTCCCGGAACGGGCGCATTGTGTGGCCCGACTGAAATGGAAAGGCCAGCTGGCAACTGGCCAACGAGGGTGAGCACAGGTCCGGGACGGTTGTGTCGCAGCATTGTGCGGCACGTAAAACTTTCCGCAATCCTGTCTGGCGCAAGGGCGGAGACAAAATTATCCATTAAACTGGACGGGACGACTTTTTTAGGTTTTAGGGTTTAGGATACACGCAACGAGCTATGCTTAGCAGGTACTATGAACTCTAAGTTACCCATACAAGTCATTCGGATTGTTTTGTATCATTGTTAGTTTACAAGACATTTAACTTGTTGCCAGACTCTTAGACCACTAAAGCTGTCATAAACGCCAGCTGACTTGGCTTTGCTAGATGGGCTAGAAAGTGGTGGTTCAAAAATAAAGGTGCTCAACCGCTGTCAACTTCCGAATGACGAAAGTGGTGTTCCTTTCGCATTGATTTCCTGTGTTCATGGACCTGCGCTGGTGTGCTGTCAGAGTCAAAGTCTTCATGATGCGATATCATTGAAGTTCGCTGATTTTCAAAACTCACGTCAAGGCCAAAGTTTTGCAAGAGTATTGCTACGCAGAGGGCAAACGGCCAACAAAAAGAAGGATGCGAAATGGAGCAGGAGATACAACTTGCATTGCATCTACTTAAATATTCGATTTGCATGTAGTAAATCCCTTTGTGAAGCCGCGGGGCCAGTTATTACCTACACTTGTGATGTTACTCGGCGCTACTTGAGCATTGTGTTGTTATGGCTGTTATGTTTTCTATGGCTGAAAGCTTGCAGTTTTCGCTGTATGTTCAATGTCCAGTCAATCTTGTGACCGAATTCAACGCTGCCCATGTTGTGTATTATGCAGCCGAGCCCTTCTTATGAAGCCTTTGTAGAAGTCTCCCAGCTTGGGCCCCGGTCCCGGGGCTGCTCGGGAGCCGTCTGTCTGTGTACTGGCCGGCGCACACCGCGGCACCAGCTGCTGTCGGCCGGCCGGCCCGGCGCGACCCCTTCACAGGCAAGTCCGTCCCTTTGCCTGCCTGTTGAGCAGACCTGATCCTGCTGCTCGGTCTGGAGGCCGTCTTCAAAGTGTCGTTGGCACTGCTGGACGTGCATCAGGAGGAGCTGAAGAAGCTGCAGGGCATGGAGGATATTATGGAGTACATCAAGACCGAGATGCCGCAGCTCGGCCAGGCCAGCGCCCAGCAGGTGTTCAAAAAGGTAAGTCTCAGTCGACACGCCCGGACCGGGCCGGCTCGGCCGCGTATCCACTCACACGACACGCGCCGCTCCGGCAGAAGCCGGCAGCAGCTCGGTGTCCGCCCGCGTCGCGTGGACGGCGTCCCGGCCACTGAGGACCAGATCGAGGTGGTGGAGACGACTTCAGCCAATAGATGGCTCTGGTGACCAGCGTCTGACGGGTGGCGCCGGCCGTGTCCGCCACAGGCCGTGGAGCTGGATATCGGCCGCCAGCTGCTGTCGTACGAGGTGGAGTACCACGTACTCCAGGAGGAGGTGCTCGCCTCGCCCTCGCACGCCGACAGCGACCTCAACAAGCTGGGCGCCATGAACCAGAACCTGAAGCGCCAGGTGATGGATTTGCTGCAGCAGCTCCAGACCTCCAACGACCAGGTCAAGAGGTGAGCCGATGCTGACGCCGCCCCAGGAATGAGCTCGACACGGGTCAGACGCTGTGGTGCGATGGGAGACAAGCTGAGGTGTATTTTGTTATGTTGAACACTGGGCGCGCTTCCCTGAATACAACCAAGTTATTGGCCGAGATCTGCCATATGAAAGTGACGTGAATAAGTCTCGATGTATGCCTGTTTCGCTCGCTCCCTCTCTCCAGACTAACGCTATGTCTCCCGTGCATCGCGTCTGAGTGTGCACCATGTGTTCTCTGATGATTTCGCCCGTGACTCACGGCTGCGGTGTCACCTGGCCAGCCCTGACGTCTGTGTGTGCCCTCGTGCGTCCCTGTCGCTGACAGGATGCGTGGGTCCTGTCTCTCTACGTCTGCCCTGGGCGGCTTGGGGCGGTTTGTGACGCTGTCCCCCGATGCCCCCTCCTCCGCACGCAGCCTGACGGAACGCAACAAGGCATTGGAGAGTCGCGCCGCTCAGCTGGAGGCGCAGCGCTCCGACCTGGTGACATTCGTGCGCTACCTCAGCCTGCACACGCCCGACCGGCTGGCCATCCCGCAGCCGTTCCAGCGGTACCTGGCCGACCAGGCCGAGCCGGCCGGCTCTGTGGCGCGTGACCCGCTCAACTGCGCCGTGTTCGAGCCGGGCCCGGCGGCGCGACCTCGGCGCGACCGCCCGCTGCCGCGCTCCAGCTCTGTCGATTGCGACTAAGCCGGGTGAGGGAGGGGGAGTGGTCCGGGGACGGGGCGACTGATCGGCGGGCGAGGGAGAGTGACTGTATCGGTGCGACTCGGTCCAGACTGGGACCGAACAGAGGATTGGTTGTGTGTGCCCGGCACTGGTCGATCAGTGGCGAGCGTGAGGTCGGAGGGTGTTGTCACGGCTCGATGCTCCCGGATGGTGGGTATCGGTCCAATTCTGTGAACTGTGACTGGTCAGGGGAGAGAGGTTTGCTGTCCTGGTCCGACGGAGTCAGCCGTGACTGATAAGGGAAAGAGGGGGGGGGGGGGACAGGCTGTCCCAGCACAGCTCTGTCGACCGTGGCTGATCAGGTACTGACGCGCCTCCTCCGGTCTGATCCGGACTGGTCTGTCCTGCTCTGTTGCGGTCCGGTCCGGTAGGGTCCGGTCCAGTCCGGTCCGGCTGGGGCTGGAGCTGGTGTGCTCAGAACGAGCGGTGTGCTCGTGCCGCTGGTCAGGGGCCGGCGGCCGCCGTGGGGAACACCAACCGGACAGTGGCCGGGTGATATGCCAGCTAGTCGGGCCCTCTTGCCGACCGTGACGCGCGGTCCGTGTCTGTGTGTGTGTAGGGCAGGGGGAGGCCAGTATGGCGCAGCGGCCGACGCCGTCCGGACCCCGGTCAGTGTTGTGGCTGTGTGACGCGCTCGTAGCTCGTGGCTCGCGAACTGTATCGCTTACACGCTCGACAAGCTATCAGCAGTTTTAAAAGACGCCGTCTTCCCTACACAGCCTTATGTGCGTGACGCTTCGTAGCCTGTTTACTCGTTTTAGTTTTGCTTTACCCTCCTACGTGAAATGATACCGTTTTACTATTTATTCCACCTTCTTCGTAGGCGAGGGGTGCTGTGCGGGGGCGCAGGCACGCCTTTGGAAAGGCCTGTGCGCCGCACGCGCCCGCCCCGTCCCTCAGTATTCCCCGCCCCTTGAGTTATACCTCTGCGTTTTCGCTGACGACAACGAGATGAGCTCGTGCACCCGGCGTCACGGGGCGATGGTGACCGTTTCGGAGGAGGTCCGTCGAGCACGCCTAGTCCCGGCGTCGGTTCGTGTTGCGTGCGCGTCGGGCCGCCGGTCGGCCGACCCCTCGGTGACCCCCGGAGTGTTGGCTGAGCGGGAGCAACGGCCGCCTGCATGTTGGGACGTTTATGTGCGAAATATACTAGTTCGTAAGAAAGATGGGCATGTGACATGTTTGAACGCCCATGTGGGCGATATAAGAAGGGCCAAAGACTGGGGCGATGTTGGGTTGATGGCGCTTCAACCACTCGCCTCCCTGTCACCGCTCACGCGGTGACCATTGACAGGTGAGCAGTGTACCGGTCTTCGAGCTGTGCGCGTGCCCGGTGTGGGACGCGATGTCGTCTTGGTTCAAAACCAGGCGCGCAACGGCCGGAAATTGAACCGGGGTCAACTGCTTGGAAGGAAGCTATGTTCACCGCTATACCACCATCGCTGGAAATTGTTGCAATTGCTGCATATAACAATCGCCAGCACTTGGTTTTCCTTAAAAAGTGAAAGTGGACCAGTAAGCGTCAGACAGAGTTATTACATCCCGGTCTTTGGTCTGGCTGGTGTCGGAATCACCGCCTCAACGCACAGTTGTGTGTGTTTGCGCTGTGGATTCCTGGATGTTGACAATCGATTGTCGCACGGTCCCTGATACTGCATCACTGTCAGCAAGTCACGTTTGGTCCCAAGTGTTCGTCTCTACGCTTGGGTTCAGTTCAAGGTCTGGTGCCAGGCGTGGGGACAGTCTCAGCTCTCCCGTCCAGCACGCTGTTGACATCAGAGCCGGGTTCATAGCTCATTAACACAGCAGGAACTCGATGCGGTACTGACTGCCGATTAACTGGTATGGTATTTATGGTTTGGCATCTCTGGTATGAAAAAGGACTCCTTCGGGTATCTTTTTTGGCCATTGCTTTGTAACAGCATTAAGTTATGTCCATAAGAAAATGCTTGGCATCATCACAAATGCTTCTGAAAGACGTCCCGAAATGACATCCGCAAGAGAACCATACACTTCCCAATCACCTGAATATACGTCCTGGTATGCAAAGGAAGTCTTAAACGTCCGGAGAGGACACCGAGAAGACGTTTTGGTTCCACAAAAAGTGCCTGAAAAGGTGTATGGAAGGAAGCTAAAAAACTGAACATGTACGTTATAACCTCTTGTTATCTCTTGCAATCGCGTTGCAAACTTGCAACAATTGAGAAAGTTACGTTACGTCGAAAGGTATGCTCCACAATTTGACATATTGAAGGAAGCGCCAGACATGAAATATACTCAAATCGTACTCACGACCACCAGATATAAACGACTCGACAATAATGTGTTTTTGGCCTTGATCATCGCACAGTCGACGGAATGACGGGAATTAAATGGCATCATTATCGCACCATGGATGCCTGGAAGCCCTGAGCTAGTCGTCTTGAACTAGTCTGCACATCTTCGCGGGAGTTTAGCTCGGAAACTAGAGCGGCTCAGGTCTTAAGGGCAGGGCTGTGAACCGCACAGAGTGATCTTCCAGCTCAGTACGTTCCTCATGGTGTAACACCTTTTCCCTCTCTTCTTATATCTGTATCTGTGAACGGTCTGCGTCAACAATTCCAAGTCGACACATGACGCCTATAGAACATTCGAAACAAATGAAGAACGGCAGTCATCAGACTGTGTTAAATGCAGAAAGAGTTCCGACACATAATTCCATCTTTTCTAGGCGTAGCAATTTTTCTGCAGCTTTTTACAACCTTTAACGCTTTTTGTGACATCGAATGTCGATGAAGTCACCTGAGCGGTATATATTCGTGCACGAAATGTTATTCCTATCCCTGCATGTCGCAACACTACAAACGCAGTGCGGCGATGGCCGCGGGGTGAAGCATGGGCGGTGATAAGTGGGGTGTGTGGACAGCTTGAAAACTCCCATGTGGTGTTTATTTCGTGTCGTTGCATGGCGTATCCACTTCAGGACGGCAAACCACATTTAACAGCCTGCGTGTGGTTCTTGAATGTAGGTTATGACAGGAGCGATGGTGACGAGAAGAAATGGTATTTGTGCTTATGCACAATGTGACAAGCTACGGACACTTCCGGTGATGTTGAATCATCCAGCCTATTTTACTGTGTCAGTGCACATTTATAAGATGATGCATCCAATTTTAGAAGACAGGGCCTGTGGTCTATTGAGATGGGGTAGGACAGTGATATCTCTGATATATTTTGGTGACGAGCCATCTTAAATTCCGCTCTCTTCCTACTTATTTGTAGCTGGAGAGTGGCATCACAGTGCCCAAGATCTGCTCTGGGACAATCTAAATTTCATATGCCAGTTATTTTCATCATTGCTTTCTAACCAACATCGCTGATGCGAGTGAAACAATGCTTTGCATGACCTGACACTAACATGGCATTTTGGGCATGGCATGGTGTATTCGGTGATCACATGAAGTCTCGGCCGGACCACCCCGCACAACGGTAAACTGACGCACGCAACGCCGACAGGGAGACTCACCCTACGCGCCCGAGCAGCAGCTCTTATACTCCTTCCAAGTCTCATACCCGCAACACGATCTGCGTGCGACTGGCCGGCGCCACCGTGACGCACCCCTGACGGCGTGCCTACGGGGTAACGCACCGCCTCGAGCCGTGACCGTTCTCCTCACTCAGACATGAATCATCGTCCCACTCGGCTTACATGTTGACACACTGTCCCGGGACAGGGTCCACCGCTACACCCACCCCTGATCTTCAAAGGTCATACTTTCACACCAACGTTCATGCTATCCAATCACTCGACACATTCTGTCCATAAAGTTGGCCCCGTTGCCGGCGCACACGCTGGCTGCGTCCCAGCGGCATCTTCGCGACTTCTTCCGCCGGCTGCTCGGGACAGGCCAGGACGCCCACCGGTTCCGTCCCAGTCGCCGTCGGTGCGTGCTCCGCGTTGTCCGGGTTGTCAGCGACTGCGCCAGAGGCCTGCTGGTGTGACGGGCCGCGGCCAGGTATAGGGGCCCGTCGTCCTCCTTGTCACTGGCGTCACATCGTGATGCATCGCTGTACCGAGGCCGCAGGTCCCGCACGTGTCACGGTGTGCCGTCCACCTCGGCCACTTGCGATGACACGATCCGCGTGACGACGCCCTGACGGGATGTTGCCGTACATCGCGTACCACGGCGGCGCATCCAGACGAGGTCACCAACTTGGAACGTGGAGTTGCCGAGCCGTTGCCGCGCCTCGTCTGGCGCCGGTGGTGACCTCTGCGAGTCATCGGCCGTGTCACGCTGGCTGGGCTGCACGCAGTCTCGCGTCTGGTACTGGTAAATGTCAGCGGCCGGTGTGTCCGCGGCAGAGTGGCCAGAGCGCGGGGTGATGTTGTACAGGTGCACGGCCTCTGCAATGTCGCAACGTCGTCGCGCAGCCATCACTTCTATCGTGCGATGACTGCGCTCCACGATGCCGTTGCCGCCTGGCTCGTGGACGGCCCGGAAACGAAGAGCTGTGCCCCACTTTGACGCCAAAGCAGCCATCTGACGGCCACGGAAGACCGTGTCGTTGTCCGCCAGAATTTCCGCCGGCGCACCGCGCTCGTAAAAAATCGCCTCTAGATGTTGAACGACTTTCGTTGCATCGGCACGGCGCAGCTGCCGCCACAGGCTGTACCGGGACGGGCCGCAGTCAGTCAGGGACAGGTAAGATCCACCTTGGTAGAGGGTCACGTCTATCGCGAGACGTGTCCATTCGTCGGGGACGTGCAGCGAGCCATGCCGCCACTGCGTTAGCGCTGCATCGATGGATCAGCACACATCGCACCGACCCACAACCGATCGCACGGCGGCTCGCGACGCTTCCCGCGCTACGTCGCGCCTCACGAAGTACAGTGTCTGGCGGATTCCTGGATGGCCAGCACTCTCTTGGGCAGCCATGATCCGCGCCTCGATGTCCATGCTATCGCCGCCCTTCGCCGCGTCAGCACCATCATGTACGGCGGCAGCTGCCGCCCTGGAGCCAATGCGCATGCTCTTGCCACGTCCCACGGCACCTGCGCCCCCGGTGCGTGCCAGGATCCTAACTGGCACATCGTCGTCTACCTGAGTCCCGCGCAGCCATTCCTTTGGGACGCGGGTCAGGGTATCCGCCCGGTTTCCATCCGACCGCACCAGCGCGACCGCCAGCGTCAGGCTCAGCTCATCCACCAACTGCCGGATGGCGTCAATGCGCCGTCGAATCAGCATTTCGCCATGCGCCTTGGTGCGAAGACACGCGCGGCCACTCAGCGCGTCGTCCATCCACCGATGGACCGTAGCGGAGTCAGTGTGGAGGTCGATGATCTTCATCCCCCAGGCGATGGCCAGGTTGGTCCCGCGCACCGCCTCATCCAGCTCCGCCATGTTGATGTGCTGACATCGCGGTCTCAGGGCGCAGCCAGCAGGCATCCTCTACCACAACATCGTCTGGGCTCTCGATAACCACATCTGCAGCGATGGCGCTGGCGTCCGTCCAAACGATGACCTTTTCACCCGTCAGGCTCCACGGGCCGTGGGCCGGGTCGTTCGTCTTCAGTCGATCTGCGGTCTGAGAGATCTGGGAGAGGAGTGCCACGTCCGTGGTGGCGTCGTCCGACCCGCGCATGACAGCATTCACCCTAAGCTTCAGCCACGCGACAGCAGGGCGAAGCCAGCCGCTGACGGGCAGATGAGCCACCAGCCGGCCGCACCATGCGAACACAGCGCGCCGCGTGACCTCCTCCGGTGGTGCAGCGACGCCATTGTCGCGCGACCAGTGCAGTTTCCTCTCCACCAGCTGCACGCGTAGGCCGAGCAGGCGCGCGCCGTCCGCTACGCGCTCAGGCGCTTTGTAGGCCAGGCCGAAGCGAGCAAAGTGGCGCACCACGCGGTCTGCGCTCATGATGTTCTCGTCGACCAGCAGGCCGTCCACGTACGGGAGCACGGCGCGCTGCATGTCGGCGTCCTCCGCCAGCACTGCGCGAAAGACAGCCTTTATGATGAGCGGGGCGACGTTGAGCCCAAACCCCAGTCGTGTCAGGCAGTAGCGCTGTCCTCGCACCATGACCGTCCGGTAGGGCCACAGTCGGCGTTCCAGGCGCAGCTGCAGGTGCGCCCTGCACAGGTCCACCACGGTGACGCGGGTCCCTTGTCGCCGCCACTTTCGGG